TAGGTTAAGCGTAAACTTTCTCTACAGTACTTTATAAATACACCTGAAAAAAATCATGCAATTAACCGAATAAAAAAAAAGCCACAAACCGATTCTTGTAGCTTGGACCAGGCCGGTCGCCTTGTAAGATGAGGCATCGTTATCACAATTCACAACTGACCCCGATCCGCTTCTACTCGTGTTAAAAGCACCACGTAGTGTGCTGCTGATTGAAACCTATTTTCGTTATTATTGCTGGGAAATGTTGATAAATTCGCCATTTACCCAGCACTGAATCGGCAATTTCACGCTTGTCGAGCAATTAATATTTGCAACAACCGGGTCCCGATGGGTCAATAAAACAGCAAGTTACTCGTAAAATGGTGCGCTTTGTTAACATTACATACTGGACAAGAACCTACACACCGTTCACAGTTGGTGGCTCTTCCAAGCTCACTATTGCCACACGTCCTCTATTCTCTAGGAGAAAATAATGATATATTTATGTATATATTATCACAAATTGCGCTTCGAAGGCTTTAGCAGGTCCTTCGTCGCTTTGAGGGAGTTGGGTGGTCACGACTATCCTCCTCGTCGGTTGAGGACTCCGAAGGGGTGATTGACCGCATAAGCTTGCTTTTTGAGGCATGTAAAAGCCGCAGGGGCTTTTTGAGGAACACCTTGACAAAGCTGTCGATCACCTCCTTGGACTTTTCCTCCCACCGTGTAATCAGGTCGCCTTTGCGCTCCCCGAACGAGCCGAACAGGTTCTTCCCCCTGTCCTTCAGTTCGACCATCTTGTTCTGCAGCTTCAGCCTCTTCGCCTTGAGGAAGGAGACGTTTAGCTCCTTGGCCGAATAGCCTCTGGCCAGGTTGCGGCGGACGTAGCCATCGTAATCTCSCACGATGCGAGCCACAATGTCCGTGGTGGAGACGCCGTTGGTGCGCTGAGTCGCTATAAACATCCCCTTTCGCTTCAGATCAGCATAGATATCAGTCACTCCATCGCATGCGTACGGCTCATCGTCGTGCGCCACAAAATCGATCTTATTCTTCTCGAGAAATTCCTCTGAGTACGACCAAGGACCGTCTTTTAACACTTCGTCCACGTAGCGACAGTGGCGCACCGCATTATAGCGCTCCTCTTCCGTAAGAACCGAGCGGCCCTTATATTGGTGAAGCATCCGATCGCTGCACACTGAAAGGGAACAAACCTTTGCTGAATGCGTTTTTTTTTAGTGCTGGATTTTTTCACTTTGCAGTTCGTGTTGTGATCATTTATATTCTGTTGTTTGCTGAAGAAAGTTCGCGATTGTTGAGTCAACGAACATCAAGAAACGAACTGCAAACGGCGGACTGAACGAACTGCAAAGTTTACAACTCCAAGAGCGGGTTCATAAACTTATCGGGTGTCGCTCTGTTTATGATCGACCATATAGTCGTTTCTTTCCTCACACAAGAGATTTTCGCTTTCCTTGTCACTGTTTACCCATCTAGTGTTTCTTTGCCACCATTAAATACTTTAAAAGTGCTTAGAAATAAAATCATGAATACACGAAGGTGTCAGGGAATCGCAGCAAAATAAGAATAAAACTGTGTCAAGCGTAAAAAGAGCACAAATAAAGGCAGGCACAAACCTTATTAGTGGCAGGCCTTAAAAATCAAACGCGCATGTGCATATGTTAATAAGACCGCGGCACTATTAGTGGCAACACTATGAGTGTTCCATATCCCTGTAATAATGACTTATGGGCCCTATGTAGACCTGGGTAACACTGTGTTGAGTTGCACTATTGAGATGTTGCCGCTCTCTGAGTTAATGAGTTGTAATTCATTTTTTAAAGCTTTTCGATACTGGAATCACATTTAAAAAAGGTCATTAACATTTTTTTCGAGTAACGTTTTACTACTTTGTTCAAACAACTTAAAAAAAGTCATCTTGATTATCCCAGCAACAGAACTGACTTCAAAGAAAGTCGACGAGTYTTCTTGTAAAATCRATCTCTTTAATKTTTTGCATAAAAGRTTCGGTTTGCCAGTATTTTACAGTAAAAYGTTAGGAAAAACGCTGTTTTTCTGTTTAGAGACAGTGTTGTTTAGAAATATTGACCTAMAAGTGAAGAAACTCCAGTTTCCAAGAGTTTTCCAAATAAATGATTATAARCTTTYGCTTTTTCAGTTCGGAGAAATATTTTTGAAAAATGACCCAAAAATAATTGTTAGGGTTTTGTCCATAATWCGAAGCTGCACAAAGTTTTCCAAAAATGTTTGYAAAGCGGTTAAGGAGGCGAGTGTTCCAATAAAATCGATTTTATAATTTTTCACAGAAAATACCTGAAGATTGTCAGTATTTTAACTGAAGCTAAAAAATAATTAGATTTTTGCGTAAAAAATTACTTTYGCTAAAACTTTTTACAAAGAGACCAAAGATTCGAAATTTATTTCATAATTTTTCGCGGAAAATAAGTACCTTAAGTTTGTCAGCATTTTTAAGTGAAACTTTAGAGAATTGAACATTTAGAAGAAAGAGTAGCTTGGATAAAACTGGAAAGTTCTGAAATTTTGAAAATATTATTAACAACTGGCCTTTAAAACAAATCTAACAGCAACTAAAAAAGCCATTACCGTTGTTCCAGCAACGGAACTGAGTTACTGCGCCGGTGCGTTGGGTTGGCGCAGCCAGCCATTTGCGTGGCACTGCGCCAACTCTTAAAAATGCACTGAGTTACCCAGGCCTAGCCCTATGACCTACTAATTGATGGGTGTTTCAGTTGGTAATTAGTGGTAGAAGATAATTAGGAACCCGGTTTCGACGGGCGACCTCCTTATTAGCTATGGCAAGGTTAAAAAAGCGAAAAACGTCCAAAACCTTGCTATTAGAATCGAGTATTTTTATGTTTAATTATGCGAGCGCGGCTCGGCGTTTCAGCAGCGAAATTCCCACAAGGTTGCTGTCCAAGCCGGACACGATTGTAGTCAAATGCTTTCTGTTGGAGAATTTTCCGATTCAAGGCCAGAACATCGGTTAGAATTGCGAATTTTTCATGTTCCGTCTAGCGCCTAGAAGCATCAGGAGAGCATTCATAAAAAAGCATCCAATGAAAATGACTTCTTGCATGAGGAAAAGAGCGACTACCCTACGAGCTACTTTCCAGATGAACCCGCTCAGGAATTTCCTAGCGCAATGATAATCCGCTAAGTGCATGCTCATATTCACCTCCAACGATCAAGTAAACGTTTGGGAAGACGTTTTTGGCTTGTCTGAGGAGGCGGGCATGGCCCTGATGGAACAGATCAAAAGCGCCATCGGCGTAGACTCGGACCGGCCGGTGGGCTTCGCCTCTTTTCGCCACCTCCATCTCGATTTTGAGGGAGTAGTCGATCTGATTGCGGATCTGTGTCGGCCCATCGTCCTCACTAAAGGGTGCGGCCGTGCAGTTCATCTGCAAAGTGAGTTCATCTACAATGTCATAAAAGAGCTACGGTTCTACAGGCACTACACGCTAAACGAACCAAAGGGGAGAATTTACCTCCATGGCCGCACCCCGGCTCCTAAATGCAGCTGAAAACAGACAAGAGTTTGATTTGGCGATTAGATATAAAAGGGCGCAGCCCCATGAACTTAAACCGCAGCTTAGCGAGTCAATCCTATGTTGATGAATGGGTGCGATCAGATAACGGTTTTTGTTTGGAACAACACCAACGTCAATGTGCCGAACGTTCGGAACAACATCCGATTTTGTTTAACTGTGCTGGCATGTTTCTAATTGGGGTCATGATGTATGATTTCGTGGAATTCCTTGACTGTCTCAAACAAATATAGATGCGACTTGAACTATGCTCTGAATGTTTAACCGGGCAAACGTTCAGGTTTGCACAAACTCGACTAAACTGGATCTTAATTAATGCAAAAATTGATGCTCAAATTCATTTTTAAATTGCCATCCTCATCGAATGGGGCTCATGAGGAAGTAGAACTACGGCCCGGTTTAGCTCATGTGCCGTAGGACCTCTACGGCCCTGACTGTGCTCCAAAATAGCCGGAAAAAGTGTATTGTGGAATGAAACACCCTGTATATGCAAACGAGGATGTTTTTCGAAGCGGAAACATCGTAAGAAAATCTCGCAAAGATCAAAAGGCTTCAAATTGCACGCTAGATTTATCGCAAAAAAGTCACGAATCAGGAATTAAGTTTCATACGGTCTGTAAAGATGGCGCTGTGAGTTCCATCGCACCACAATGACAAAACAATGGAACTACACAAAACAAACAAAAATCCCACTAAGGTTTAGTGTCGTTCAGGTGAAGTAAAATAAGAATCAAATTGAGCCAAGTGTAAAGAGTGCACAAATTAGGCCTGGGTAACTCAGTGAATTTTTAGGAGTTGGCGCAGTGTTACGCAAGTGGTTTGGTGCGCCAGCCCGACGCACCGGCGCAGTAACGCAGTTCCGTTGCTGGGAAAATGTTGATGACTTTTTTTACTTGTTTTTTGATTTATTATAAGGGCCATTTATTAATAATATTTTTTAAATTTTCTGTTTCACTTAAAAATGCTGACAATCTTAAGGTATTTTCCGCGAAAAGTTATGAAATAATTTCGAATCCTTCATCGCTTTGTATAAAGTTTTGAAATCCCTTTCCAGCTTCGAATTTGGAACAAAAATCAAATAATTTTCTATCCAAAAACGAACAGAATAAATGAAGTTTGTTACAAAAATGTGGTTTTTTAGTTTTGACTGAATTTTTTTGCATTACTTTCGACTGAAAAACGCTCTATTTTGGAGAGTTTTCCTTATAATAAATAATAATAACAAATAATGACCATCTGGAAGTTTTTACGCGAAAATTTACAAGATAAATTTATAGCTTCGTAAAAAAATGTACAAAAACTTTTTTCCTCGTTGAATTCGGGACAAAAACAAAAATAAATTCCTCCCGTTTTTTCTCGAAAACCATTAAGGTTCTCTCCAAAACCGATCACAAAACTAAATGTTAAAAAAAAAACATTATTTTCTGATGATTTTGTTCTTTTCTTACAATAATGGGGTCTTTTCAGCCAAAAATGACAAAATAAACACCAAAACCAAATAATTTCATTCAGTTTTTTACCGAAAGTAATTAAGATTATCTTGAAAAAACGACCAGAGAGCAAAAGTTTACAAAAAATTATTGGGAAAATTCGCCGCGCTCATCGCTCTGAAGATTTCTAAAGTTCCTTTAGATTTTCAAGTCATTCCAGTTTTAACAAAGTTTCTATTAAGCAATTCTTTCTACACAAAAGTTGCCTTATTTTTAGTTTTGCTGAAATTACTGACACTCTTCAGGTATTTTCTGTGAAACATTATAAGATAAATTTTATTGGAACTCTCGCCTCCTTAACCGCTTTGCAAAAATGTTTGGAAAACTTTTTGCAGCTTCGAATTATGGACAAAACCCTAATAATTATTTTTAGGTCTTTTTTCAAAAATATTTCTCCGAACTGAAAAAGCAAAAGCTTATAATCATTTATTTGGGAAACTATTGGAAACTGGAGTTTCTTCACTTTTGGGTCAACATTTCTAAACAACACTGTTGCTAAACAGAAAAAC